CCTCACTCTCTCTCTCTCTCTCTCTCTCTCTCTCTCTCTCTCTCTCTCTCTCTCTCTCTCTCTTCGTTGGCATCGATCTAAATCTAATATACTTCACACCGTAGTGACAATAAGGAACAAGCAATCATGTAAAAGCCGCAGCAGATCAATCTGAGTAACAAAATAAGAAGCTGGGTTCAATATCTTCTCCACAGAACCCCCCCAACCAGGGCAGTGCTACAGACTGAAGTTGTCTTTAGACCATTCCAAAAGGGAGGATATTAACATGTTCTTATGCACAGTAGAATTGTAAATGTGCTGATTTATCAATGTCATGCTCATACTGTCCCTGAACAGCGTTGTGGGAACTGCTGCTTTTTTTCCTCATCCCTTCTATCGTCATTTTCCTCTACTTCTTTTGTATGTTTGTCACACTCTTGTGACCCGCTATTTCCGGGGTTCCTTGATACTTGATAGTCGAAGCAGACTTTGTGCTGTTGAGGCTATAGAGGTGAGCAGAGTATGCCTGATTCCCCATTTGGACTTCTCTTTTGACATCCATCCCTTGGCGCTCATAATATGACCGTGTGCAGTTGCGGGCGCCGTAAAGCCTTACTAAAAAAGAATCTATTACACGTCTTTTTTTCAAACGAGGAAGAACATTTACCCCCTCAACCGTCCAACTTGAGGTGATGTTGCAACTACACGACATTGTAATCAGTTTTCAACGAATGTTTCTGAACTTGGCTGGAAATGTTTAGACCCCCTGTCCACATAATTTAGGGTTTACTTTTAGTTTTAGAAAGAATTTTACAGCTCTTCCTACAAAAAACGATCACATACGTGCCGAAGATTAGCGATATTTTTATTACTACAAAAAATAACGCACAAAGAAACGAAGAGGAAGAGATAATGACTATTCTTTAACAGATTTTTGCCAGGATAGAAGTAGAAACCTGAGCAAACCACACCAGAGTACCCACCAACCACCCACACAATCATGGGCTTGCTGCTTCAGAACCCCGCTGCAGTCGGCAGTCAGGGCTTGCTCAGGCTAACACTGTCACACTCATGGCATGACGCTCAGCAGACAGATGGGGGGAATCATAAAATCCCCTGTGCAAGCTGCACACGTTAAAGATCCCTTGGTACTTAGTGGTCTTAAATCGACAAGAGTAGTCTTCGGTCGTCACCCGGGCAAAATTCAAAATTTCCTACTCACTGAAAAAGTTAAATGTGTCCCGCGCGCTCATATGACCTTATGCAGTTGCGAGCGCCGTAAAACAATTGCCCTAAAAAAAATTTTACTCATAAAATCAACTTTCCCACAGGGAATCGAACTCACATTAAATAATTTTCGACGTGAATATTTTTTATCGGCCAAGAGCCAGCATTTCATCACTGATTCCCGGCTTTTTTAAAAAAAAATTTTTTTTTTTTTTAAATGTTGTGATTCAGTACTACTTAAGCTTTAAGGCACTTGCAACACAAGAAGGTCATATTATAACAGCTGGGGAATAGAGATGTCTCCAGAGAGTAACAGGAGCACCAAGAAAAGGCAGAAGAGAGATAATATAGGGACAACAGATGTTTGGAGAAAGAAGAAACAAAGCACACCAGAGCACCTGCCAACCAAACCACCCACTCACTGCTCGGACCAGATCATTGCCACGGACGGCGGTAATAAAAAGACTCGTAATAAAAGATCTAAAAATGATCATAAAGATTTTTTAATTTAATAATAATCTTAATGATTGAATAGTAACAATGCCTGAAAAGCATGGAAATTGACTTTTGATGGAAGAGAGGAATAATCTAATCTGATAAATCCGACTGAGGTTATTATATAGGTTATAAGAACGTTTCTATTTGATTAGATTCTATTCCTAGAATCTCAGCCAGTCTCTCTTCAGCGACTGTCCACTGTTACTGCTGTCTGGGGTGCTACACAAGGAGAAAGTAACGTATTAATCATGTGACGAGACAGACCACAATCAGCTTACCTTGGTGTTGACTGAGAATCTGAGAAAGAAACAAGCTACTCCTTCCACACACACTCTCTGCTCTCTATCTCTTTCTCTATTTCTCTCTGCCTGCCTGTCTGTCTCTCCTCCAGCATCCACTTCCTCCACAACAAAGCCTAATTAGAAACTGTCTGCGGCTCTCAGTAAGAATGTTGTGATAGCATCAACAGACGTCAGCTTTGGCTTAGTCTTAGTCTTAGAGCTGCTGACCATAACCTCACGAAAAAGTTCACTCTCTCAGGACTCGGTTGTTTGTTGTCCTTTCCTTTCCTAACCAACCGATCACCATCCACAACGCGATCTCACTCTCTACCGGCTTACTCATTCATCTACCTCCCTCCCTCAATTCCTCACTTAAAACTCTCTCACTCACGCTACACTCTTCTTCTTCTTGTCTTCGCCTTGTGCGCCGCGATCCTTCTCTCCTCTTCCTCAGTCCTCACTCACTCTCTCTCTCTCTTTCTCTCTCCTGGTTCTTTTTCTTCGTCCCCACTCGCGCTCGCTCGCCACGGCAGCAGAAGCCAAGCGCGTGAGTGCGAGCAAACCTTCACAATGCACGAGAGTTGCGAACCATTCACACACACACACACACACACACACACACACACACACACACACACGCAGAAGTGAGCTCCTATTTTTAGAAGAACGAGACGCCGGAAGGAAGAGAAAGCGAAAGTTGAGACGAAGGAAGGGAAGAGTGGGGGGATGAGGAGAGGTGGAAGTAGAACGAGACAAGTCAAGAAGGAAAAATTAATGGCTTGTTGTCCTGAGAATTTTATGGAGTTCAAAATCACCACGTTTTTGAAAATCGTTATTAGATTACACACTGGAAGGTGTCTCGTAAACTCGTGGATAGACCACAAGAAAAGGAAAGAGAGCAAGAGGGAAAAAAGAAAGGTAGGCTAGACTGCTTATTGACATTTGGCGTGGGAAGGTGTGAAATGTTATTTGAAATTGCTCACATTATGTTTGAACTGAAATTCCGGGCATGACGAGTGATGAGTTCTGGGGGTGTGTGGGAGCACGTGCATGTTTTCGTGCTGGTGTGTGTGTGTTTGTGTGTGTGTGTGTGTGTGTGTGTATGTGTGTGTATGTGAGAGAGAGAGAGA